TTGTGTTTTTCCCATAGGTTTTTCCCTTTAGATTCTGAGAGACACATTTCTTTTTTCAGAGGTTTTGATAAACCATCGAACTACCCATAATCCTTGATGTTTTAGCCGCAATGCACGTCGGGATTTGGTGTTTATGCGATATGAAATCGGAAAACATTTTTAAAAAATCAAATAATACTTTATTCCGAGTGTTCTTGCTTTTTTCTTTGGATGTCATCACATAACGGCATTGTAATACACGGTTCAGCTGCATTAAATATTACATATCTGCCGTAGTTCTTTATTTATAGAGCCTTGATTAGAGGACCTTTGGACAAACTGGAAGAAATGCTGCCGAAACTGAATACGTGACGTGGATCATAAATATATCAGCAATTGCACAACATTTTCGATTTCTTTTCACACAATACGTCTCCTTGCAATATCAGCATTCATTCGGCTGACTTTTATATTTGATCCAATTGGTAGATAGGCTGAATTTACACTATAACGGTGCACAGTTGATAGACAGGGACTTGTAGTTGTTAAAGATATTACTGATTTTCTTTGAATTAAAGAATGTAAATACTGAGTTGAGAGAATAGTCAGGGGTTTTGGGTGATGGGAGACACATCTATGGAATCAGAATTTCAATAGCTGATATTATTATGTTTTATTAACTAGACCAGTGGTTCCTAAACGGTGTGCCGCGGCACACTTGTGTGCCGTGAGGCAAGTCCGGGTGTGCCGTGGGATTTTGTGACAACCATACGTTATTATTGCAATATACAACTACACAAAAATAATAATTTTTTTATTTACTATATCAGTACTTTGTAGGTTTATATGTACGTAATCTGCGCGATTTGCGCGTCCACATCTCCACGTGCAGTGCTGCATAAACATGGCTGAGTCAGCGATAACTTTCGAGGGGTGGAGGTATGCCCATTATTTTGAGTTTGTCCGAAGAATAGACAGGAATGTGACGGTGAGGTGTGTTAGAAATTAAAATCAATGTTGGTATGGCGTAATTTGAATTAAATACACTATTTAATTTAAATCAGTTTTATTCTGAAAAACCGGAAGTTCACTAACTATTAACTTAATACTTTTATTCTGACAATTATTCATTTCCGGTTAGCATTAGCATGTGGCGAAATGCTGCATTTTCAAACCGTGAATCAAAGGTGAAATTACATGTGATGTTGTACACTGAGCACACTGGGTTTAGCAATCATTTATTACCGCTGAATAACGTTTATTAGGGAATGTTTAAATAACCACAGACACCAGAATGATATAATTTAACAACAGAAAAAGGCAGAAATTGCATTGGACCCGCCTCCGACGACGCCGGCCAATAGGAGAAGACCTCCGATGACAACAGAAAGAGCAAGCCAAGGATTGACCTCTTTCTACCTGCTGACCGGGCGGATGAGGAGAGCGCCTCCACTCGCACATTTCATTTTGTACACCACCGCATCTTTTGTGTAATTCAATGCTGTTAACTTTTATAAGCTTCCCTTGACTCTTTTCAGTCTCTCCTGCCTTCGGGGTTCGAGAATACACTAACAGGTGCAAACTGTGTCCAGGCCAGAAGCTGTTATCCACGTCAAACCTCAACACACACCTGCAAAGAACACATGCTTTTTTGTTTATATCACGTAGTCTGTTCTTCTTCTCTGTCTTCCGGTTGTTGCCTGTTTTGAATGACAAATACACACTACCGCCGCCTGCTGGTAAGGAAAGTTATTGCCACTCACGCATGCGCAGTTCGTACGTGCTCGGCGAGTAAAGTAACGAGTTTGTAAGTCGGCAAAATATTTACAATAGCACATGTTTCAATGCTGATTGCTGAAATGTTACATTTATAATTTGTAGTTCAGGACCATGGACAATGCAGCTTCCTTGCATTGACAGTTCTCTGTGCTGAATTTCTGCTGAGTTTCCTTTGCCTCATTTTTTATTTTATGACCTGTCTGGTTTAAATGAGTGTGTTGCTGCTTTGATGAAGCCTAATTTGATAAAGTTTCAAATTAATTTCTGAAATATTTCGTTAATAAATATTTCATGAGTAATATAGTTGTCTTTGTCACATTTTATTTGGCATTAGTAAATAATTATGCACATTTACAGATATTTTACATGATATGAGTGATAACACGTGTTATAAGGGTTATTTTGCACAATAGGTGTGCCTTGAGATTTGTACTTGTCCTTTGGTGTGCCTTGGGCACAAAAAGTTTGGGAACCACTGAACTAGACTACAGGCTTTTTAACCCGCAACCCCTAGTGGTTAAAGCATGTTATTGAATTTTGTTGTTGAATGTTATATTTGATGAAAACATTTAAATATTAAGAGTAGCCTACATACAAAATAGGGGGAAAGCAGAAGGTCAATGATAGAAATATAGAATAGAAAATATCAGGAAAATACTGTAGTGATCTCTACAATACAACAGTTTAGTGCAGGACGCACAGGAGGATGTGCAAAACAGACAAACTAATAAGGCTTTATTTAAACATTAAAGAATACTTTAAGTTAAGGTCTTCTTTTGAATAAGAAAAAAACGTTGGGCGTATCAACAGATGAATATTAAGTCTGACAAAGTACTTAATGTCTAATATATTGCATAGTTTATTTTGGCACTTGACAATCACCTTCCCTGAATTTAACTCAGGTGTAACTAAAGTCTGATTTAAGGGTTGTATATATTTCACATCATTAATCAGAATCTGCAAAGTAACTAAAATAAATGTAGTGGAGTAAAAATACCAGGTTAACCTCTGAATTGTAGTGGAGTAGAACAAAGTAGTATGCTGCTGTAACAAAAACATTTCCCAACTTGGGATCAATAAAGTATATCTTATCTTATCTTATCTTAAGATGATCGATGGCTACTGCCATATTTGCACAATTTGCCTCTGAACCTTGACAAGTGCATGTTTCAGGCTTATCAATTAACAACAGGAGGGGTCATAGACATAAGACCAGCTGTTAAATAAAGCTCTTCTGACCTTAGCTGTCTTGTGGGTATATTAATGCTGCCCATTATGGACACAAGCAATTTTCACCCATTTATTAATTATATGTTTTAAATTTGATAACACCAATGTGTTTCGTATACCCTAAACCTCCAGGGGTATACACAGTTTAATACTGGCAACTTCTAATTGTGGAAAATACGAAAATGTCTTTTAAAACTACAATTCCCAGTAGAGACGTGCCATAGAACATGTTGCGAAACACACAATAGCCAGCATGTGTAGTTCTGGGGGGGGAGGCTGGGCTGGACTCGTACAAGTCCAGTTTTGGATAGTCTGCCATGGTTCCATTCCATTTCAAAGAGCTGTTTGACGCTCGGCGTAACCTTGTCGCACTGCCACTCCAACATCCAATCACAGAGCTTGAGGACTAATCACGGGGTTTGTAAAGCAAGGCGGGTGTTGTAGTCCCAAACGATAGCTCGGGATTGTGGGTAGTGTAGTGTCTTCGGAAATTCTGTAGGGTCTAAACTCCGAAAAAACTATTTGTTTCTCCGAATCGAAGGTTAAAAAACACAAAAGCATTGTACACAATTTAAACCAATCAATATTGTGTAATTAACAAGGATAAACTGATGTTTTTTAGAGGATGAGTAATGCAGATATCACTGTGTAATCATTTGACAGTGAGGGGAATACTTCCGGTTTTATTATGAAAACTTCGAGACCGGAAAAACAGTTTTCACCCCGTGAGGGTTGACGCTAACTTTACATGGAAGCTGCCGCATATACACGTTCTCCTGGCGAGACTTCAAATCATCTTCACACCAATCTGACAACAAAGAACTGACACAGACGGACACTGACTGTCGCGTCGCCTCGCGTCTCTGCGTCTTGGCCATGTGTCGCACTGGAACACACCGCAAAGACTTCAGCCGACGGCCAAGAAGCACGTCCGAACTGCGCATGAGTGAGTGGCAATAACTCTCCTTACCAGCAGGTGGCGGTAGTGTGTATTCATTATTCAAAAGAGGCAACAACCGGAAGACAGACTGCGTGATAACGGAGAGAAGAAGAACAGACTGTGTGATATAAACAAACAACAAATAGCGTGTGCGTTCCATTTTCACTCTACAACGAGAAGCTCATGGGGCTTTCCCGAACCTGTGTCGAGAGCTGGAGTTAAATGAAATCTCAGATTTGCCTTCTTAATAGTTTGTTTGGGTCCCTCACTTCCGTTTCGCTTCTCATGCACTGATTCGCTAAGCTGAACAGCCAATCAGAGTGATTTATTTCGCCGACTGCCTTTGGCCGACTGCGGCCGAAAAGGCGTCGGCCCGGCTGAAAAGACCCGACGGTGCGGGACACACCAATCTGAGTAGGGCGTGTCGACGCTCATCGTCGGCCTAACGCCCACCGACACCGATAATCGGCCTGGTGTGTCTGTGCCTTTATCTATCAAACGATAGATCCTACACATCCATGGACGTAGATTATAAAAGTACAATATACACTTCTCGCTAGAAATCTAATCAAAAAGTATTTTAATGGCCAAACTATTGCACAATTTAGGATTTTCCAGAGAGGGTTATTTGTGAATAAAAGAATCTCCGGAGCGTTTGCAATCAACGGGAGCATGTTGTTTCTTACACGACCACTAAAGGTGCTACACTTTAAAACGTGACTCTGAGTCGTAATAAACTGCTGAACAATCAACCTATAATGGTCATTTTTTTTAGGAGGACAGGCTGAAGTAATAAGAATGCATTTCTGCCACACTGATTTTTTTTAACCGGCCATCGAAACTCAGTCTAAGTTATGCTAAATCGGCATAGTACTCTTTTAATTCAAAGTAATGAAGCCATCAGTTACAGCTTACATCATTAAAAAATGGTGCCAAATTAGAAAGTGGTTCCAAACATTTTACATAAAAATTGTCTTTAGGTAGATTTATACCTAAAAAACGTATACAATGGTTCTTTCTCTTCTCGTCCTTGTATCACAAACCCTTTCTTTGTATTCCATCTTTCCATCAGGACAAGAGAAACAGAGACAAGGACCCGGGGACATACAGTTTCTCACAGAGGAAACTCACCCAGCAGTCTACTTCCTGAAATCACCACTCCTTCTGTCTATGAGCTGCACTGAGGCAGAGGAGTGGACTTCCCAACAATCCTGACACACGGAAAACCCCTGTGAATCCCCCAGAGGCCCCCCGAGCAGCAGCATGTCCTCTCCTCTCCCCATGCCCTCTCTCCCCCCCAGTCCTCTGGCCATGGAGTACCTAAATGACTTTGACCTCCTCAAGTTTGAGGTGAAATCTGACACTCCTCCGCACCCTACTCCATGTGTGTTTCCCAAGTCTGGCCTTCCCCAAGACCCCTCCAGCTCGCCGTACACCAGCAACCCTATGCAGGATTCCAGTTTGAGCTCCAGCCCTTACAACTCGCTGCCACCCTCGCCATCGCTCAGTGACGCCCACCCACCACCTTCGGGCTCTTCCTCCCTCTCATCGTCATCCTCCTCCATCTCCTTCCCCCTCTCCCTCTCTAACAGCTTCACCTCAGGCATCAGCTCCGGCTCTCAGGGGAACGTGGAGGGCAGCCCGTCCCACGGGGGGCCTCAGGGTCCCACATCGGCCTCGCTGGAGGACCTGATCTGGCTGGCAGCGCTGCAGCAACAATTTGGAGGTGATGTGACGGGGCCCTCGAATTTGATGGGGGCCTTGGGGGGAGTGCCAGAGCGGGGGGAGAGAGAGAGGGGGCCGGTCAATGGCTTCCTGGGCTGTGAGGACGCTGTGGAGGCTTTGCTGAACTCAGCTGCTGCAGCTGTCAGCTCGCAGGTAACAATTTATAATTTGTTTATGTTAAATGTTCTCCAATTGATGAAGGAGTTGACTGACATCTTCTTCCATATTGTCCCCCCTCTCTTCAGTTTCCAAGTCTTTCTCAGAGTTCCAGCAGCAACCTGGGGGACTCCAGCAGCGACAGTGGTGCAGACATCTCCTGCCCCAAAGGGACAGACATGTGCCATCGCCCGCTCGTCTTCCTCTCATCAGCCCCTAACTCACTCCCCAACGACGCTCCTAACTCAGCTCCATACCCACAACCCCTCAGCCCCCAGGCCCATCTTCATCACCACCAGCATCACCATCATCAGCACCACTCGCACCACTCCATGCATGGCAGCCATCACCATCATCACCACTCAATGAGTCAGGTACACACGGATCAATCCGCAATAGCTTGATAATGACGATTGTGCTCGACAGAATGATTTCATGGATTAACGAGGGAGATGTTTTGGAGGTGAAAGAATTGAACAGTGACACTTGTGGCATTAGAGGGCTGGGCGGAGGGAGAGGGATCGTTCAGTGAAGGATTAGGATTAGGAAATTAGAACATTGTTATTAGTGTCTATCTTGAGCCTCACTTTGAGGATCACTCTCTGCATGGCAACAATAAGTGAAGCAAGAATTTCGTTTTTGACAGTGCACGGTTTGGATTTACAGTGAAACATACATACACTTACATTTAAACACAATTCTTCAACATTTATAGTATTTGTTAGCAATCATAACTTTTTTCTATAATTACATTTAGTATTGTAATAATTCAATATCTGGTTATACACCAGCTTTTAGCTTTCCAAAGTATGGGTTGTGGTTGTTCACGAATATATTAATAAACACAATATCTGCTTGCAACTAGGTTGTTTTAAGCTATGTATTGCATGTTTCTAGGGGGAGTTCCTCCAAAGCTAATTTAAATAAGTAATCTCTAAAATGAACACTAGCCAGTTGTTAATGAACCTATAAATGAATAATTAACTCTTTAAGGGGCTAAATGTGATTGGAGGACAAATCAATTGCTGCTAGCCTCTTCAATGCTTCAATTACTTGGTAAATCAACTCTGTAATCTGCTTTCCGGTGGATGAAGATGTCTGGGTGTATCTCTATGTGGAGCACGGTGTTAGCTTATGATAATATCTGCTATTATTGCTGTGTGTAATCCTCATAACTGTCAACCACACTTAGTCAGATTAAATGACAGATTATGGACATGTGGTGCTGAAATGTGCCCCCTGACAGACAAACACACACCCAGTATAACACGTCACATGTCCACCAGTCATCTCACAATCAGTTATGGTTAAACTATTCCACACTCATTTAACTCATCAATTATTTTCATAATTTGTCTTGTTTCCAATTAACATCAGAGTACAGCATATTCTGAATGTGTGTTTTCACCATCTGCTCGGCAGTGTGGGGCCAATGATCGCTTCTCTGATGAGCAGCTGGTGAGCCTGTCAGTGCGGGAGCTGAACCGACACCTGCGAGGAGTGAGTAAGGATGAAGTGGTGCGCTTGAAACAGAAACGTCGCACTCTGAAGAACCGGGGCTATGCCCAGTCCTGCCGATACAAGCGCCTACAGCACCGCCACGCTCTGGAGTCGGAGAAACATGTGCTCACACAACAGGTACATGCCTGTTCATGACTGACCAGCTTTATTTTATCCAAGCTATCTGACCACAAACTTAAATCCTAATCTGATCTCATCTTTAATCTGGAAGTTTAGACAATTCTAAATTCCCTTCATGGCTGAACAATAGTGATCGTGGCCCTCTCTGACGCCCCCGACAGTGGCCATCGGACATTTTTTACCCCACTTTTAGCTCCTGAGGGATACGTTCAAAATAGAAAATGTTCTTGTAGTGTTCCAGAAAAACACATTAATTGGGTGACATTGTTATTCCTCTAAAATTGCATTTGGTCCGCCTGGCACCCCAATTTCAAATGTTCTAGAACCGCCACTGCTCCTGACTCTTTCTTGCATTCATTTTAAAGGAACATCTTTGCACTTTGGCTTAGCAACAGCACAAATGCCTTTTTTTTTCTCCTCCTCAGTTGGATCAGCTACAGTGTGAGCTGAATCGAGTGCTGAGGGAGAGAGATGCCTACAAGGCTCGCTACGAGAAGCTCCTCAGCACGAACCACAGCATCGCAGCTGAAGCCCCACCGACCCGCAGCAGCAACCCACCTTCCCCACCCCCTGACTACTTCCTCTGAGCTAAGCCCACAGGGAGAGGAAGGAATAAACAGAGGAATGAGAAACCAGCCAACATGGAGCAATCAATGATGAGTAATCAGACTTGGGGAAGAAAACAAGGATGTGTATGTAAGTGTGTGTGTAAGTGTGTGTTTGTGTGTGAGAGAGAAAGTGAAAGAGAGACACTGGCAGGCAGTTTTGGAGCGATACAACTGTGAAATCCACTATTGAGTGATTAAAGGGGAATAAGACTGCTAACTCATAGTGTTAGACTCAGCTCTAGGCTGCTTCATGGACAACGCTTTTACTTCACTGTGAATGATAGTTGCACAAAAACTGGCTAAGAATACAACAGTGGACAAACACGACTGTGAGAAGTGCATTGAAAAAGCTTTTGTCTTGAATTTAAACGTATCAATAGTCCCTGATACTGCTGAGAATATTATCTATGCAATATTATAGCTGCAATGTACTTTCAAAATGAGTGGTTGTGGTTCAAACTGTAGTTGTGTTTTTTTACAATAAGCTGCTAAAGCTGCAGAGGTCTGAGTAATGCAGTGGTGCTGGATGTGGAGTGGTATGGGCTTGGATAAAGTATCCACGGCATGCAGTTGTGTTTGCCAGCAAATTTTTCACAGTTGCCTACCAAAGTGTATAAGCTCACCAAGACTTGTTTTTATTTTAAAGATGAATAATCATAGATTAAAGAATGTACAAGGATACCTGTCATGGGAATCCTCCACTGATTGTGCTTAATGAATAGTAGGGATATTGCTCTTGTGTTTTAGCAAATAAATCTACTTTTGCTGCTTGGAAATGGCTACATTGAGCCATTAACAGTGACAAGAAAGACTTGCTGTTTGCTCTCAAACATGTGTTTTTACATACAAAGAGCTAGTAGTGTGCTTAACTAAAGCAACTGCATATGATGAAAGCGAGAAAGAAGCCCTCCGCAGCAGGCGAAAAGAGTGTGGCATGATTTGTGTGGCTGTGTCCAGTCCTCCAGACTAGGGAAGTTATTTTCTGAAAAAAATTGCACACCTCTGTAACAGGAACAATCACACAATTACAGCAACATGCGGCACCACAGAGCTGGTCACTGTGGACTCGGGTACTGTGGTTTACAGATGCAAGAGAAAATCAACGGTGCAGGGAAATTAAAAAGAAAATGCAAAAAATGTTTTCATGGAGACACCTTCTTATCTGTCCCATAAAATCCAGGGTTCATGATTTAGAGCTATTTATTTTTGTTTGGGTGTAGAGTAAATAAATTGTTCTTTTTATTTATTCACTTATTTATTCAGTATTTATTGTTTATTTATGTACTGATTCTACTTAATTTACTTTACAGGTTTTATTCAATTAGTGTGTATTTTTACTTTCCCACAGATTACTATTTTACCCAATTGTGATTAGAATTAAGATTACTACAAAAATGATGGCCGTTATCATGGTTTCCTGCTCCTGTTGTAGTGTGGTTTCATATGCATAAGAAATAAACAAAGTACTTTACCATCCCTGTCATACTGTGGCGTGCTTTTGTGCGGCTTCCACACATGTTTTAACCTCATTCCTTTTCTATTCACCTATCTGAGCATCTCCCACTGTCAGTCTTCTGCAGGCCTTTTCTCTCCAGCTCGCCCTGCAGCTCGCCCTGCAGCCCCCATACCCGGCTCCATCCCACTCTTTATCTATCCCTCTATAGTGAGGCAGTGACCCTGGGTGTGCACTGTTTGGGATGACCTCATCTTCAGCTCTACCTCCCTCTCTGTGTCTCTCGCTCTCTCTCTGGCCTGTATAATAGGAGCAGGATTAGGGCTATAATAGCGCCCTGGCTGCTCACTGCCGGAGTCTATTGTGGCTTTGTGTGGGAGGGACGCACCACAGCTCATGGCCACACTCACATTTTGACAGAAAACATGTCAAAATACACTTCTTGGGTCAGGGACTAGAAATTACTTTATTTAGTCAAATGGGAAATTA